CAATGCCCGGGTCAGGCGGAACACACAGGTAACAGTCACCCTCATCACTAGTAGGCAATGCATACATGGCAGTGAGGATAGCATCATAGTCAAGAGTATAGATATCTACCCGCAGCCGAAGCAGCTCCACCCAGTCGGGGAGCTCAGCCGCGTCGCCAAACTCCGTACGCCAGGCGTCGCTCAGACGGGCGAAGCAGCGGGACTCTGCGTGACCCAACGTCCCGCAAGGCTGACCAGTCCGAGCACCAGTGCGAATGACGTACGGACAGCGAGCAGTACCCCGTGACCCGTCACGCTGAGCGTACCACTCACGAAGCTGCTGGGGCGAAAGGACTGCTCGCGGACGACGCTGAAGCTGCACCTGGCCACTACAAGCAGCTGCCGAACTACTCACTCCAGGACGACTCCCACTACGGCCACCCCGACAACCCCAACTAGCGTACCACTCACGAAGCTGTTGGGGGGTGAGGGACTCACGCGGGCGACGCTGCAGCTGCACCTGGCCACTACAAGCAGCTGTGGAACTACTCACTCCAGGACGACTCCCACTACGGCCACCCCGACAACCCCAACTAGCGTACCACGCACGAAGCTGTTGGGGGGTGAGGGACTCACGCGGGCGACGCTGGAGCTGCATCTGGCCACGCCAGGAGCAGCAGTAGCAGTAGAAAGAGCAGCAGCAGTAAAAGCAGCAGTAACAGCAGTACGGGCAGGGCAGTGCTCACCAGTGGCGAGAAGGGCAGGCGTACGACGGCGGCAACGGTGAGGCCGCTACCACTGTAGAGCGAGAGCTCCGCGGCAGCTGCAGGGGTGGCTGCTCCAGGGGCGGCAGTTGTAGGGGCGACTGCTCCAGAGGCGGCTGCTCCAGGGGCGGCTGCTGCAGTGGCGGCTGCTCCGGGGGCGGCTGCTGCAGTGGCGGCTGCTCCAGGGGCGGCTGCTGCAGTGGCGGCTGCTCCAGGGGCGGCTGCTGCAGTGGCGGCTGCTCCAGGGGCGGCTCGGCTGCTGGGCGACTCGGCGGCTCAGCTGCTGGGCGGCTCGGCGGCTCGGCTGCTCGCTAGGGGCGGCGACGGGGCCGGGTAGGGGCAGCGACGGGGCCGCTAGGGGCGGGGAGCGGCGACGGGGCCGCTAGGGGCGGCGACGGGGCCGCGTAGGGGCGGCTACGAGGCCACGTAGGGGCGGCGACGGGGCCGCGTAGGGAGGGAAGCGGCGACGGGGCCGCTAGGGGCGGCGACGGGGCCGCGTAGGGGCGGCTACGAGGCCGCGTAGGGGCGGCGACGGGGTCGCGTAGGGAGGGAGGCGGCGACGGGGCCGCTAGGGGCGGCGACGGGGCCGCGTAGGGGCGGCGACAGGGCCGCGTAGGGGCGGCGACGGGGCCGCGTAGGGAGGGGAGCGGCGACGGGGCCGCTAGGGGCGGCGACGGGGCCGCGTAAGGGCGGCGACGGGGCCGCGTAGGGGCGGCTACGGGGCCGCGTAGGGAGGGGAGCGGCGACGGGGCCGCTAGGGGCGGCGACGGAGCCGCTAGGGGCGGCAACGGGGCCGCGTAGGGGCGGCGACGGGGCCGCGTAGGGGCGGCGACGGGGCCGCGTAGGGAGGGGAGCGGCTACGGGGCCGCTAGGGGCGGCGACGGGGCCGCGTAGGGGCGGCGACGGGGCCGCTAGGGACGGCGACGGGGCCGCGTAGGGGCGGCAACGGGGCCGCGTAGGGAGGGAGGCGGCAACGGGGCCGCTAAGGGCGGCGACAGGGCCGCTAGGGGCGGCTACGGGGCTGCGTAGGGGCGGCAATGGGGCCGCTAGGGGCCGCAAGGGGCCTAGAAGGGCGGCAACGGGGCCGCTAGGGGCGGCGACGGGGCCGCTAAGGGTGGCGCGAGGGGCCGTGAGAGGGGCCTCTAAGAGAGCTCGACAGAAGGGCGGCCCACAAGGCGCGCCTCGGGCAGGAGCGACTGTCGCTCCGGTCAGAAAAAAAAGGTTTCAGTGGTGGGCCCAAGGAAGCGTTCCCACTAGGGAACCTGCTCTATACCATGTGAAGAAATGAGGAATGAATTGACTAAGGGAAAGTTGGGTACAAAAGCAAACCCTAGAAAACTGTACCCCATATGTGCTACCCCACTATAGCCTACAGTAGCTATGTCATATAAATCTGACAGTTTCGTGAGTTCCGAGATTTTGTGTGCGTTCCTGTTATTTCATTTGTTCTGCGAGTCATGAGTGTTCGTGAAAGTGTCGTGAATGTTCGTGAGTCTGTTCGTGAAACGTTCGTGTGATTTCATGCAAGTTCGTGAGTTTTCAGGTAAAGTTTGGGAGTTGCGTTTTGATTGTTTTAATGAGTTCGTAAGTAATTTCGTGTTTGTTAATGAGGCTTAAGAGAACTCGCCCTTATCGAGGTGGTCAAGGCTTGAAGCCATGAGCTCGAGCACTGTTGGGATTGTGGCGCAATCATGGAAGTGTGCCAACGTGTGCACACGCGCGGCCTGAGGCCGCAGGTGGATTCGCCACACGCGCAAGTGTGGTACTATGGATTGTGTGAGGAAAAGTCAAGCGCGCGTGGGTCCACAATTGAACTGTGGGACCCTCGAGCTGTTTGTCCTCATTAGCCGAGAGGAATTTCGCTACGGGGTGTTTCGTGAAGCGCGCGATTTACATTCGATGCTGGTGCGAATTGTGCGCGAGTGATTTCGGCGACTTCGTAATTTCGTCGCGTAACTGCGCGATTTCTTCAGAAGATTCCGTGAGCTGTCACGAGTGGTCACCACGAAACACCACGAGCGTCCACGAGGCTTCGCGAACAAGTATGGCCCACATAAACGTTCATGGGCGAGTATGTTGCCAGTGGTTTCGCATGGAGAAAGTTGGCAATTCGGAGTATGGTTCTAGTTGTTATTTCGGTGGGCTGTTAGCTTTCGTTTTTGGTGGGCTAGTATAAATTTGTGCTTGCGTTTTTTTGTGATTAACCTTTTTGTGAATGAAATATTCTCTATCGACGTATTGACACGAGGAGAAATTCCGCACACGAGCCAATCCGTCAACTAACGCTGCGCAAATGTGTTTGGGAAAGTTCTAGTACACACGACTGTATTTACAATTAGTACGTCCCTCGACAAACACGGACCCTTGGTTAGGGGCTGGCTTTGCCAGGCACCCAAGGACCCTTGGAGGTGACCCCGTGGGGACAAACTAGTGTGAATTAAAGGTGTGCTTAGAGGTTTCTAGTCCCAATAGTAGTTAACAAGTGGTATCAGAGCCGTGGTTCTAAGTCTTGCCGTTCGAACACCATGGAGTCGGGCGGAACAGTAGGTGAAATAGGTATCTATGTAGTCGAGCCACCTGATTTTTCGCGGGATGAGGTTGGGTCGCGCACGGAGACACTGTAGTAACTTGTGGTCTGTGCGAACAGTGACGTCGGCGCCCGTCAAGTAGCAGCGCCAAAGCTTGAACGCGTGAATGTAGGCGAGCATCTCCTTGTCGTATATCGGGTTGTTGCGCTCGGCTGCCTGTAGCTTGCGTGACTCGTAGGCGATCGGTTGCAAACTGTTGCTGAAATCTTGGAGGAGAACAGCGCGGATGGCAAAATCTGAGGCGTCGGTTACGACTTCGAATGGCTTGGATGAGTCGGTGATGCGTATAACTGGAGGGGACGTGATTTTTTTTTTCAACTCCTGAAAAGCCGCCTCAACCTCCTCCCCCCACACAAAATTTCCGTCCTTGTGCAGTAGGTCGGTCAGCGGGCCGGTTATCCCCGCTATATTCGGGATAAACTGCCTGACGTAATTCACGAACCCAAAAAGCTCTGACATTAGTCGGGACTTCAACTCCTGGATGGTCGTAATCTTCGTCATGTCGATTTTAATGCCGTCGCGGGAGATGACGTGCCCCCAAAAACCCAACTCTTGCTTAAAAATCTCGCACTTAAAACCCTTGGTGATGAGGTGGTTGTCGTGAAGGCGCTTAAATACCACAACGAGGTCGTGGAGGTGTTGGTTGCGTGTTCTGCTAAAAATCAGAATATCGTCCAAGTAGACAATTATACACTTGTCGAGAAGATTGCGAAACACCCTGTTCTTGGTCAGTTGAAAATTCGAAGGTTCGTTTGTGAGGCCGAACGTCATCACTATACATTCGTAGCTGTCAAACTTATATGCTATAGCCTGTGTAGGCTGTAGTGGGGTAGTTCATATAGGGTACAACACTTTTAGGTTTCCTACTTGTACCCACCTGCTTGCTAGTTCAGTCACTCCTTCCTTCACTATTCTGACATGGTATTCTGAGCAGGTTCCCTCGTGGGAACGTTTTTTTTTTTTAGGGCCCACCACGATTATAATATTTTTTTTTCCTGCCCTGCCCGAAGCGCGCCTCGCGCCTGCCTCACCCTAGTGCCGCCCGTCGCGGCCCCGACCTAGCCGCCCGTCGCGGCCTTGCCCGGTCGCCGCCTCGTCGCGGCCCGGACCTCGCCGCCTAGTCGCGGCCCTGCTCTGCCGCCACCCGCGGCCCTGCCTTGCCGCCCGTCGCGGCCTACCCTAGCCGCCCGTCGCGGCCCTACCCTGCCGCCCCTCGTCGCGGCCCCGACCTTGCCGCCCACCGCGGCCTCTGCCCTGCCGCTGCTCGTCGCGGCCCTGCTCTACCGCCGTCCAGCCGCGGCCCTGCCCTGCTGCTGCCCTGTCGCGGCCCTGCTCTGCCGCCGACTCGTCGCGGCCCTGCTCTTCAGCCGCCCCAGTCGCGGCCCTGCTCTACCGCCGCCAAGTCGCGGCCCTGCCCTACTGCCGCCCTAGTCGCGGCCCAGACCTAACCGCCAGCTGCGGTCCTGCCCTGCACCCGCCCCTGGTAAGCACCCACGCCGCCCAGCCGAGCCGCGCCGCTCCTGCCGAGCCGCGCCGCCCAGCCGAGCCGCGCCACCCAGCCGAGCCGCGCCGCCCAACCGAGCCGCGCCGCCCTGCCGAGCCGCGCCGCCCTACTGAGCCGCACTGACCTGCCCGCGCTGCTCTTGCTGCTACTGCTGCTACTGCCGCTATGGCTAGCCCTAATGTTCTTACCTTTGATGCTGAGGGGCGTGCGGTTGACTTTGACGTGTGGGTTGACGACCTACAGCTCTTTCTTCAGTGTGACTCCAAGGACGGAGTATCCCTTTTCGATCACACGTCTGGTGTCTCTCCTGCACCTGCTGCCACTGCTGACAGTACGGTTCGCTCGCAGTGGACCACTCGTGAGGCTGTTGCTCGCCTTGCTGTTCATAGTCACCTGCCGTCTGCTGAGCGCGCGCACTTTGGCCAGTACAAGACTGCTAAGTCTTTGTATGACGCTGTCGTAGCGCGCTACTCCTCCCCTGCCACTGCTGCCCTCAGCCGCCTCATGCTGCCGTACCTGTTCCCTGACCTTGCCGCCTTTGCCACAGTCGCTGACCTCATTACTCACCTCCGCACTAGTGACGCCCGCTACCGCGCTGCGCTTCCCACTGAGTTCTGTGCCAAGAACCCCCCCTCCATGTACATCACCCTCTACTACCTAGTCACCCGTCTCCCTGACTCCCTTTCTTCAGTCAGGGACCACTTTCTCTCCCTTTACCCCACCGAGCTCACCGTCGACCTGCTAGAGGAGCGCCTCACTGCAGCTGAGAAGAGTATCGTTGCTGTAGGTGCTTCTCGCGGCGACCCTCGCGCCCCTTTCTTTGAGGGGTGTTCCCCTGTCCCCCTTCTCCCCTCTGTTGCTTCTGCTGCTGCTGTCGACCTCGTTGGCTTTGAGGAGGTCGGGGCTGCGTCTGCTCCTAGTGGGAGGCGCCGCAACAGCAAGGGCAAGGGGGGCAAGGGTGGTGGAGGGGACGGTGGGGGCGGCGGTGGAGGCGGTGGAGGAGGCGGAGGGGGTGGCGGTGGAGGTGGGGGTGGTGGCGGGAGTAGGGGCGTCGGTGGCGGCGGTGGGGGTGGTGGAGGCAGCGGCAGCGGCGGTGGAGGCAGCGGCAGCGGTGGTGGAGGTGGCGGCGGCGGTGGTGCTGGTCGAGGTGGAGCCGCGCAGCGTGGAGGCTTTGGTGGTAGCCAGCTCCAGCAGCAGCCGCGTTCCCGTGAGACCCCGTCGGCCCAGCAGCTTCGTGAGTGGTACGCTGGGCGTGGGAGGTCTGGGGGTGCTGGTCCCTGCACTTACGCTCTTCGCACCGGCGGGCGCCGTGGGGAGACGTGCGGACTGCCACACACTACGCAGCGCTGCTTCGGTCGCCTGACTGGCGCCAGGCGCGCCCAATTTCCTGACGCTGTTGAGCTCCCTCGCTGGGGTGATCTGCATACGCAGAACGTTGCTATCTTTGATCTTGATTTCGATGCTATCCTTGCTGCCATGTATGCTGTGACTGATAGTGCTGAGGGTGACTGTTACCTGTGTGTTCCGCCCCACCTGGGCATTGAGGCTGCTGCTCTAGGTGCTAGTGAGTCCGCTGCTCCAGGTACGAGTGAGTCTGCTGCTCCAGGTGCTGGTGAGTCTGCTCTCTTTGGTACTGCACCTACAAAGGCCTTCCACACTTTCACACTTGACCCCGGTGCTTCGCGCTCCTTCTTTCGCGACAGCACCACACTCACACCGCTCAGTCGGCCAGTCGCAGTCTCCCTGGCTGACCCCTCTGGGGGCCCGGTCCTTGCGCACTCCTCCACGGTTTTACCGTGTCCTGCGGCCCCGTCGGGCTTGCTGTCGGGACTCCACCTCCCCTCGTTGTCTACGAACTTGGTCAGTGGAGCTGACCTCCAGGACGTGTGGGTTGACCAGTTCACCCCTGGAGGTCAGCGGGTGACCCACTGCACTTGCTCTCGGACGGGCCGCCACCTGGCCACGTTCACCCGTCGGCCTGGGTCGAGTCTGTACACACTGACTACTGCGTCTCCTCCGGTCACTGCGTCTGGTCAGGTAGCCGCGTCTGGTCAGGTGTTTGCTGCCGCGTCCAGGTCTAGTCCGGCGTCTGCCCCCTGCTCGTGTCGTCCTCTGTCACACGAGACTCTCCTTTGGCACCACCGCCTTGGTCACCCCTCCCTGCCTCGTCTTCGAGGTATGGCCTCCCGTACCCTTGTCTCTGGTCTCCCCCGGTCCCTCCCTCCCCTTCCTCCGGGGCCGGCCCCTACCTGTGTTCCTTGTGTTGAGGGCCGGCAACGCGCCGCTCCTCACTCTTCCGAGTTCCCTCCGACAGAGGCTCCCCTGCATACTCTCCACATGGACGTGTGGGGCCCAGCCCGCGTCCGTGGACAGGGTCACGAGCGTTACTTCCTGCTGGTCGTTGACGACTACTCGCGTTACACCACAGTCTTCCCCTTGCGCCGCAAGGGTGAGGTCACTGAGGTGTTGATCGACTAGATCCGCGGTGCCCGTCGCCAGCTCAGCGAGAGTTTCGGCTCGGACCTTCCTGTTCTGCGTCTGCACTCAGACAGGGGTGGTGAGTTTTCCTCCGACCTTCTAAGGGCTTTCTGTCGTGCGGAGGGCATCCGCCAGACGTTCACGCTTCCGGCCTCCCCACAGCAAAATGGGATTGCTGAGCTCCGCATTGGCATGGTCATGGACGTCGCTCGTACGTCCATGATCCATGCGGCTGCTCCCCATTTTCTGTGGCCGTTCGCGGTTCAGTACGCTGCGCATCAGATCAACCTTCAGCCTCGTGTCTCCTTGCCGGAGACCACACCTACTCTGCGGTGGACGGGGAAGGTTGGCGATGCGTCTGTGTTCCGTGTCTGGGGATCTCGAGCTTTTGTCCGCGATTCTTCCGCGGACAAGCTGTCCTCCCGTGCTGTTCCCTGCGTCTTCCTTGGCTTCCCCCCTGACGCGCCTGGGTGGCAGTTTTACCACCCCACCTCGCGTCGTGTTCTGTCCTCTCAGGACGTCACGTTTGACGAGTCGGTATCTTACAACCGTCTCTTTCCCTACCGCACTGCCCCTCTCCCCCCCCTGCCGCTCTTCCTCGCACCAGGTGCTCCTCCGGTAGACCCCCTCCCCCCTCAGGGTCCTGCCCCCTCAGGTGTGTCCCAGGTAGACCCTGTCGAGCCTGTCGAGGTAGCTGTCGACTCTGGTGCTGCTAGGGGTGCTGAGCCTACGGGTGCGGGGCCTGGGGGTGCTGAGCCTAGGGTTGCTGAGTCTGAGGGTGCGGAGCCTGGGGGTGCTGAGCCTGAGCGTGTGGAGCCTGGGGGTGCTGAGCCTGGGGGTGCTGAGTCTGGGGGTGCTGAGCCTGAGTGTGCTGAGTCTGGAGGTGCTCCGGGTGTCCCGTCACGGCGGGAGCCCCTCTCTCCACAGCGGCTACGTGAGTGGTACGCTCGGCGCTGTAGCCGTGCTGCTGGAGCTACGGGGCCTGCTGCTGGAGGTGCTTCTGGAGCTGGAGCTGCTGGAGGTGCTGCTGGTGCTGGAGCTGCTGGAGCCGCTGGTCCTGGAGGTGCTCGTACTGGAGGTACTGGCGCTGCTGGAGGTCCTGCTGGTGTTGGAGCTGCTGGAGGTGCTGGAGCCGCTGGTCCCGGAGGTGCTCGTACTGGAGGTACTGGAGCTGCTGGTGCTGGTGGTGCTGCAGGAGTTGGAGCTGGAGGTGCTGGAGCTGTTGCTGCTGGAGGTGCTGCTGGAGCTGGAGCTGCTGGAGGTGCTGCAGTTGGTGGTGCTGCGGGAGTTGTAGCTGGAGACCCTGGAGCTGCGGGTACTGGTGCTGTCTCTGCTGTTTCTGGAGGCGCTGCGCGGCCGCGGCCGTACTACGTTCCACTCCTTCAGCAGGTACTTGGCCTCCCGCATTCTACTGGTCCTTCTCCTCCCCTACTGAGTCCGCCGCCTGTCCAGTCGCAGTCGCAGTTACAGCCAGCCTCTACACTACCTGGTCCTTCTCCTTACTCTGGACCGACTAGAGGTCTTACGGAGCGTCGTGAGCCTGAGTCTCGTCCTGCGTCGCCTGAGTCTCGTCCTGAGTCGCCTGTTCGCGCTGTTCGCACTGGTCGTCGTGTTCCGCATGAGCGTCCTCTTCCTTCCACTGCTCCACTGCGTGTCCCTCTGCCGTCTCCTCCTGTGTCCTCTCTTCCTGACGGTCCGGACCCGGAGTCTGACTCCCTTCGTGCTGCTAGTCCTACTGTCACGCGTTTCCTGGCCACTGTTGTCACTGACCCTTCGTTTGAGTCCACTGTTGCGTCTGCTCTAGTTGCTGAGCTTGTTGACTTTGCTGCCGCCTGTCGTCTCGACTACGCCGCTAGTCTTGTTGCTGAGTCTGAGTCTGAGTCTTTCTGTCCTCCGTCCGTCGGTGGTGAGTGTGCTCTTGGCACGGACGTCCTTGAGGACAGACAGGAGGAGTTTGAGTGCTTCGCCGCTGCTTTACCTCATCTCGTGTCCATGCTGCTTGCCCCTGAGGGAGACCCGGATGCACCAGACATCCCGACCCCGCGCTCTTACGCAGAGGCGATAGAGGGTCCCTACTCCTCTCAGTGGCAGACAGCCATGGACACAGAGATGGCTTCCTGGAAGTCCACAGGCACCTACGTCGACGAGGTTCCCCCGCCTGGGGCGAACATCGTCAGTGGCATGTGGATTTTCAGGGTGAAGCGGCCGCCGGGTTCTCCGCCTGTCTTCAAGGCGCGTTACGTTGCACGAGGCTTCAGACAGCGAGAGGGAGTTGAATTCTTCCAGACCTTCTCCCCTACCCCGAAGATGACCACTCTTCGGGTTCTGCTGCACGTCGCCGCTCAGCGTGACTACGAGCTTCACTCTCTTGACTTCAGCACTGCTTTCCTATAGGGCAGCCTGCACGAGGAGATCTGGCTGCGCCGCCCACCTGGCTTCACTGGGTCGTTTCCTGCTGGTACCCAGTGGAGCCTCCGGCGGCCAGTCTACGGTCTCCGCCAGGCACCCCGTGAGTGGCACGACACACTGAGGACGACTCTTGCTGCTCTTGGGTTTGCTCCTTCTACTGCCGACCCGTCGTTGTTTCTACGCACCGACACCACTCTGCCGCCGTTCTACGTTCTCGTGTATGTAGACGACCTGGTCTTTGCTACTGCTGACACTGAGGGACTCGCCCACGTGAAGTCGGAGCTGCAGAAGAGACACACGTGCACAGACCTGGGTGAGCTGACAAGCTATCTTGGCTTGCGGATCACCCGGGACAGAGCACAGCGCATCATTACCTTGACTCGGTCACACATGGTGCAGCAGGTCCTTCAGCGCTTCCGCTTCACGTACTCCTCGCCACAGTCCACTCCTCTGCCTACCGGTCACTCGCTCTCAGCTCCACCTTCGGACGAGTCCGTAGAGCCGAGTGGCCCGTATCCAGAGCTTGTGGGCTGCCTCATGTACCTGATGACCTGCACTCGACCTGACCTTGCCTACCCTCTTAACATTCTAGCACGCTATGTCGCTCCTGGCAGACACAGGAAGGAGCACATGGATGCCGCTAAGAAGGTGTTGCGCTACTTGTGCAGTACGTCGGGCATGGGGCTTGTGCTTGGAGGACGGGCTCGAGTTGTCCTCACTGGTCACGCAGACGCTTCCTGGGCTGACGACTTGGCTACGCAGCGGTCGTCACAGGGTTACACCTTCAGCCTTGGCTCCGGCTCTGTTTCTTGGCGGTCTACCCGCTCGTCTTCTGTTCTCAGCTCCAGTTGTGAGGCTGAGATCTACGCAGGGGCCATGGCTGCACAGGAGTTACGCTGGCTCACCTACCTGCTGACCGACCTGGGAGAGCCGCCTCGTTCTCCTCCAGTGCTGTACGTCGACAACAAGGCCATGATTGCCTTGTGTCAGGAGCACAGACTGGAGCACAAAACGAAGCACATCGCTCTGCGCTACTTCCTTGCTCGAGAGTTGCAGCAGCGTGGTCAGCTTCATCTTGCTTACGTGGCCACTCGGGCCAACACTGCTGATGTCTTCACCAAGGCACTTCAGCCTTGTGATCATCAGCGTTTCTGTACTGTTCTAGGCCTTGTGCCTACTGTGCCTCACTTGCTTACTTCTTGACTCTGCTTGTACTGTGATCTCTATACATATACCTGCATGCTTACACTTGCTAGGTTGTGATCACTGTATTGCTTGTTCTCCTTTATATAACTCTGCATGTGAACTGGCCTTGTGGCCATTTTCTTGTGCTCAGAATGCGTGGTGACGTCGTGATCCACCCTGAGCTTGCTTTGCCTTTCTTGACCGGTCTTCTGACCTCTTGTTCTCCCCCACTTTGCCTATGGGGGTGTGTCAAACTTATATGCTATAGCCTGTGTAGGCTGTAGTGGGGTAGTTCATATAGGGTACAACACTTTTAGGTTTCCTACTTGTACCCACCTGCTTGCTAGTTCAGTCACTCCTTCCTTCACTATTCTGACAGTAGCTTCCGTAGCGGTTTCGAAACGCGGTCTTGTAGCAATCGTCGGCGAAGACCCAAATATGGTGGTAACCGCCACGAAGTCGATTTTCGAGAAAGAGCGAGCACCGCGAAGCTGATCGAGGAGGTCGTCGGTACGTGGGATTGGATAGCGGGACTTGATGGTGGCCCTGTTGAGCGCACGACAGTCGATGCACATGCGAAGGCCGCCGTCCTTTTTCGGCGTAAACATGATCGGAGCTGCGAAGGGAGATGTACTGGGTCATATAAACCCCTTCTCCAACAGTCCGTCAATTTGGCTTCGTAGCTCCTCGAGTTCCGGCTGAGTCAGTCGCCACTGTGTACGAACAGTCAGTTGCGCGCCAGGTTACTGTGTATTTTGTGGTCCTCGGGGCGTCCTGTGCACAGCTTCTCGATGTCCTTTCCGTCGGTGTCAGTTGCCAACTCGCGCAAACACACAGCAAACAGCTGCGCGCCTCGATTGAAATGGCGGGCAATAGTGATGGCTTTGACGCACTGGGCCTGAATGTAGTCCGGGGTCCATGCAGGTAATGTAATGAGCCCATCGTGCTTGCTGATACTGCACGATTCCGTCGTCGAGTCGATGATGGGGTTGTGTAGTCGCAGCCGATCATGTCTCAGAAGCACGTCGCAGCCGTCCGGCGTCGTTGCATGAATCGAACCACGACTCGGTGGGGATGGTGAAGTTTGGGCGACAGAGCACAGTCGGTAAGGGGCCCGTATATCACAGACTCTTCCTATTTCCTGGCTCTTTCCCGTCGTTCCTTTTCGCCGACGTTTTCTCGTGGTAGTCTCTAGACATGTGACCCGATTTCCCATACTTATAACACAGCCCCGGAAAGGGGCGGTCGGGTGCATGGACTCCGTTGATTGTGGCCCGTTGGGTCTGTTTGCGAAAACGGTTTCCCTCCCGGGAACCTCCCCTCGCCCACTGCATCAGCGCATCTGTAGATCCTGCCAGCCGTACGGCTTCCAGGAACGTAGTCGGGCGGCATCGGCAAACCTCATACTCTATCTCGTAATTAAGTCCGCTGATATACTTATCCAACCGCTCCAGCTCCGCCATGTCGTCCACTTGGTAGTCCTGAACAGAAGCCAACTGCGACCAGGCACGCAGCTTCATGCGGGCTTGCTCCGAGGCGGATACGTGCTCGAAACGATCTTGCAAGGCTACGCCCCACTCCTTCCACGTGCGAATCCTAGTCACACTGAATATTGATGTTGCCACTTGATTAGCCGAAGTTGAGGTCCCGTCTGCCGCATGTGTCACACCTGTCGGGGTCCCCGTGTCCAAGGTACGTCGACACCACTCCAGAGTGGGTCCTTGGAGAAGCAAAACCGAGTAATTAATACGAGTGGCATCGTCGTCAACTCGCGCTGCAGTAAATAAAACCTTTACGCCAAATAGCCACCCCTTAACTGTGGTCGCCTTGTCGGTCGGGTTGAACGGGGGCGGGCTCGCGGGTTTTTTCTTGATTGTAATAACTGCAAGTGTTGTTGGTGCCGGCGCTTCTCGCCTATCGCTCTCGTCGTTTCTGCGTGTGAGTTTGCCACTTGTAACGACGCCACTCACGCCATGGCTGGTGGTATCGCCTTCTTCAACGGGCGACTCCTGACACGCTTCACCTTGCGTCTGTCGTAGCTCGACGTTTTCTCAACGTAGATGCTCCACTTCTGTCATCAATGACTTAATGCTCTCCTGCATTTCTGCCATTTGCACCATCATTTTGTTAACTGCTTCTGTCAGAATCCCAACCACTAGACCATTGGGATAAAAGGGCTTGTTTCAGTAGCGGGTCAGTGCGCCCATATCCGTGGTAAGAACTATCGGAGTCGGGCAGGTTTGAATTACAAAGCCTTGCAGCCAACGTCGTGCAGTCCATTGTACTAGCCAACCTGTGCCACTAAACTCGAAAAGCGAGGTGAACTAGGTAGGATAGCTCAGATACCAGGTGTATGAGTTGTAAAACAGAGTTGCGCGGAAAACGGATAACGAGGCTGTGACTCAATGAACTCACAATACAATGAAGGCACGTGATAATATAGTAGCTATTGTAGCTAGGAGGGAACCTCGGAGATGCGAGGTTGGGTGCAGGTTTGGCTAGCGGACAACCGGGGGCGACGCGGGGCAGCCTCGGAATGGTGGATGTCAGCCGAACGTGCGAAGTCCGAAATGTTGGGGTTGTACGCGTAGCAGTAAACCCCTTCCAAGGAAAAGGAAAATTTACCTACAGAGGCTGTTGCGTTTCGGTCAGTAACGCAGTCAACATGGTCAATGCGAATTTCCAATACATGCGATGTGTCCCCATAAAATGTTCACAGTACACAGTTATTCAAGAGCTGTTCAAGACTTGATCATACAACACAAATTTTGGGTACCCTGTTTACTACGGTAAGTTGTACCTAGGCTGGTCAAGAAGGTTGCGCGTCTTGATCAGCCAGCTGACGAACACACGACTGCTGGTTTGAACAACTCGTTCGTCAGCAAAAATATTATGTACCGCATCGTTGGTCAACATAATCGACGAAACGGATTTTCGCGCACCAAGTAGCAGTCGCCCGTGAGTGAGAAGGTAGCGAAACGGTTACAGGAGTCACAACTTCCAGTGTTGTAGGCAGGTTCGTCATCTCGACTGAAATTAGTTCTTAGACGAGTCTTGTCCACCCGCTTTTGTAACATGTTCCAAAATGTTTATTTTGACCAGAATTTTCTCACCAACCTCGTTTGAACCCCGTTCAAGCTAGCTTGAACGCATTGTTCGTCATTTCCATCTTGAACAGCTCTTGAACAACTGTGTACCGCGCCCTTAACCGCTAATGATCCTAGGGTTGTGATGTTGGTGATCTAGCTGCGTGAAACATTGCCAGGTGTACCACGCTCTAACCCCAGCATCTGCCTTCCACATAACGCGATAGCCAGCCCTCAGGGCGTGTCCAACGCGTACATTTTGGGAATTTTAGTGCCCAAACACGTGCCGGGGTTCAAAACAGATCACCGTACCTAGAAACGAACGCACTGTGAGCCGGGTCCACCCCACTAGCGCGTGGACACATATCCCCACACAAACTTCAACAGTGCCAGGTCCGCGTGGAAACCTAGGTAACCGGTTCCCTCGTGAAGAATAGGTCTGGCATTTTTGCACATGCGAGTTGCCTGGCCATGTGGTTTGCCAAAGCGGAGGTGGTTTTGGCGAGTCTCGTGCTGTACTGGCGAAAGTGTGCGAGCCATTAGAGGGGCCACCTCTGTAGTGGGCAGGACGCAGTGCTGGACCCTAGTTCGCGCGCACGCTGCATGTAGTAACGTGAGTCACACGACTCGAGGTACGTGCAGCTGGAGTGCCGTCTCGTGAACAAAAGCTGGTCGTGTCCGCCCTTTTTGTAAAATGCTGTGTTACAACGCTAAATGTGGTAACTTTGGGGATTTAAGAAGTGTAGGAGCGGGACTCCCCTCATCCAAAACTTGACGCTCCAACAGGCGGAACCTGGCGCACTGGTAGCTAGTCAGTCGTGACTCACGACTCACAAACTTCCGCGCTTCTCCAGGCTCGCTCGCTGCTTCGAGCACTGGCTGCTGCAGGGACGCGCAGAAAAGAGCTGCAGTAGGCCGAGAGAGCAGTGTGCGTGCGAGGAGTCAGCCGTTCGGAGCCGGCTGTCCAGCGCGCATCCGCATCCTTCCGAGACGAGCCCCCGAGTAGAGGATCCCGCCGCCCGCCATGGAGGCAGCGCTGGGCTGTCGCGTCCGTCCGCGCGCCGCAGTCGGCTCTGCGGCGCCACTGGCGGCGCGTCGTTGTCCCTCGGGCCGGTTTGCTCGCGTCGCGTCCAGCCCAGATTCCCTTGCGCCGCGCCCCCTCCTCCACCGCGCGGCGCTGCATCCGCTGCAACCGCGTCGCCACCAACTCAGCACGAGCAGCTTGCGCCTGCCACAGCTGGGCTTGCGCCCGCCCGTGTCCGCCCGCCGCCCCCATCGCCCGCCGTCCCGCGTCGCCAGGGCGGCGCCCGCGGCGGAGTCGGCGTCCAGCGAAAGCAGGGACGATGTGACTGTAACGGGCGACGCAGAGGCGCAGCTGAGAGCGGCGTCAGCGGCGGAGGGGAGGGCGGAGGAGGGCGGGACGGTGGAGTGGAGTCGCGCGTGGTACGCCGTGGGCGTGACGGCTGACATGGACGCGACTCGCCCGCACGCCATCACCATTGTGGGCCGCCCGCTCGTGCTCTGGCGCGACGCCGCGGGGTCGTGGCGCTGCTTCCTCGACCAGTGCCCCCACCGCCTCGTGCCGCTCTCCGAGGTGCGCCCTGCAAGCGCCTCCCATCACACCTGTTCCCATCACACCTTTTCCCATCACACCTGTTCCCATCACACCTGTTCCCATCACACCTGTTCCCATCACACCTGTTCCCATCACACCTGTTCCCATCACACCTGTTCCCATCACACCTGTTCCCATCGCACCTGTTCCCATCACAGCTGTTCCCATCACACCTGTTCCCATCACACCTGTTCCCATCGCACCTGTTCCCATCGCACCTGTTCCCATCGCACCTGTTCCCATCGCACCTGTTCCCATCGCACCTGTTCCCATCGCACCTGTTCCCATCGCACCTGTTCCCATCGCACCTGTTCCCA